ATAATAAGTGTCATGGTGAACTAAAATCACGACATTTATTATGGATCGGAGGGAGCAGTAAAAGAGCATCAGCGCTGCTTCCTCCTTTTGGCGTGTTTTCCTGATCCAGTTTTCGTATGGAGTTCTTTACCGGCGATATAATTATTTAACCTGCTAGTATTTTGGAGTGTGGAGTTCTTTATAAGTGATATCAAGTTTTATTTAACAAAATTGAATCATAATTTGTGAGAGCTTCTCGGGTGCGGCTAATCTGCACCCGGGCTCATCTGCACCCACGTTTAGTAAAAAATTCAAAAAAAATACTAGAAAAATTCAAAAAATTCCAATTTTTTTTGTGGTGGTAGATAATTTGACGCGTGAGGTGCGCTCCAAAAATCAGCTCATTTGAGCATCTGAGCAGCTCTTGACAAAAAAGACAAAATCAGGGTCTGTAAAAATGTATACTGCTCACGTACTGTTTTGACCCGATTTGTCTTTTTTGCCGAGAGCTGCTCAGATGTCCAAATGAGTTGAATTTTGGGGCGCACCTCACGCGTCAAATTATCTACCACCACAAAAAAGTTTGGAATTTTTTGAATTTTTCTAGTATTTTTTTTGAATTTTTTGCTGAGAGGGAGCAGATGAGCCTGGGTACCGTTTTGAGTTTTCCTTCTCCATGTGCTGTGTTTGTATTATATCATGTGATATGGTTGGTTTCAAGACTGCTTATATTAACAATTACATGGAAAGAAATGTTGATTTCAATTTCCTGGCCTAGTAAGTTTACTTGATTCGATCGTCCAAAAATGGCGTGAGTGTCGTAGAAGATTTGCACGAGAGGCACGAAGTTTGAACATAGTTAGAGCATCTTTCACCGATCCCCTAAAACCGGTTAGAGAAGTAAAATAACGGTTTACTCTTAACCGGCACCTAGCCGAAGTCCTAAAGTCTATAGTATTTTGGCAGCTCCTACAAATCAGGTGGCTCGTTTTTTCAGTTTTAAGCCGCCTAGTTAGCTGTCCGATTTGCTCAACTAGGATGTATTAGAGGTAGAGCCACTCGATTCCTCCTCAATCATCGCTCATGTCCATGGGTCACGCACCATAGCTTCTCGCCGGCGAGTAGCACTGCCGTACTCGACTTGTCGTGCCGCCGGTAGCAATGCCCCACCCCATTGTAGCGCCACAAGATTCCGTGAATCTACAACATTGCATTTAGCAACGAGAGAACCTTTTAGGATCAGCAATAATTTGTTCCCAGAGTACTGCGTGTTTATTTTTTTTCTAAATATTACTGCTAATTATAAAAATCTCACCAGTGACAGGTCCATTTAGGTCAATTGAAATTGTTGTCTCGTCTTCATCTTCTTCTTCCTTCGACCAAGTTCGTCAAGCAGTCATCGTAAATGGAAACGACATGGAACAGAAAAAGGGCAAACAGGCAACCTGTCATCCTCGCTGGGAGTGATCCTCAGATGGATTTCAAGGTTATACTCCCTACATAAGGCGCACAACACTTTTCAAAATCAAACTTTGATCATAAATTATAATTCACATTTGGCTGGTCTAATTTATGGCTTGAAGGGAATATGGTTTAAATATTTATTGTCTCAGCAATACATTACTACTCCCTCCATAAACTAATATAAGAGCATTTAGATCACTAGTACATTTATTATTAAAAAGAAGTCATTACTAGGAAGAGAAGCAACGACTCATAAAATTGCAAAAGAATCCACGATTGCAAATGAACAGGTAACTCGGAAGCAAACCATAGCAGGCTAAAACGATACAGATGAGCTGGCAGCAGTTTACAACCATCACACAAGATACAGGCAACAATCCTTGGTCATGGGGCAAACAAAGACAGGTCCACATAACAAACTTGAAAAGTTTAGAAAGAAAGAGGGGCCATCACACTTTTTCCAGGAAGAACTGCTATATGTTCTGCATCTGGGAGAAAGAAATCCTAATGGTGGATCCCTCCAGCTTGCTCGCATGCTTACAGACCAGCGCTTCGGTCGCCTCTTCCTCGCTCTCAAACTGCACAAGAGCCTGCGTCTTGCCACTCGCCTCAAACAGCTTTGACTTGACGATGGTGCCATGCTCACCTAGGTGTTCAAGGATCGTGTCCTCGGATATCTCTGGTGAAAGCGCTGAGATGTGGATGATCTTGGTTGGAGCACAGCAATGGCGGTAGTTCTTAGCCACATTACTGTTGAACCGGTTAAGATTGGAGGTTGAGTAGTCATGTGCATCAGGAGCAGGGGTAATGCTCGGGTACTTAGAGAAGTTCACTTCCAGTTTCTGCCCAAGTAACATTGCTCCCTGTAGTAGGAAATAAATTCCAATGGTATCAAGGGTGATATATACCACAAACACATAATGAGGTAGGACGAATGAATGAACTAAGGTAGGAGTCGAGTGACCACAAAGTACCTTTAAATAGTGTATAGCAAGCTCAGCCTGAAGCCCATCAGCCATCTGGACAAGGGCATGGTCTGGCTTGTTGCGGAGTACCTTGATTCTCACTATATTTCCATAAATAGAAAATAGATTGAAGAGCTTATCCGCATCGACTTTCTGCAGATAAAGGTAAGATAAACGAGATAATTATGATTTGAACAACTTGGAGAGTGCATGGCAAGTTATGTCTTACTTACATCACTGTTCAAGTTGCTAACTATAAGTGTGCAGCGATCATTGGTACCAGTCACTCCAGGAGGCAATGTTCCGCCAAATGCAGCAGCAATCACTGCAGCCTGCCCCATCAGATATAAAAACATCGTAGCAGCAAAAGCAGATGCTTTATGTGAGATAATGATATCGTTTAGCAAAGCACAGAATGAAGCAGTAAAAACTAACACAGTGCAGAATTGGGACGACTTGAAAAAATACAAACCTGTCCATATGCAGCTGTAGCCCGGAAAGAAGATTGAAGGAAAGAAGTTAATATACTTTTAATAAGATGACCAGAGTGAATAATGAAAAATGTGAAGGAAAATTGCAATGTCTTACCTCCAGGCTGTTGGAAACCAAAAAGGCTAGGATCATTATAACCAAGCTGTTCAAAGTAATAGACAAAACAGAGGCTTAATACTTAGCTTACGCACTCAAATGATCCAAACAAAAATGCAACAAACATTAGATAGTAGAAACAATAATAGAAGACACGAAGGAGTAAATAACTACCTGAGAGGATCTTGGGCGTTGCTCTGTGGGCAAAGATGGATTTGTGAAATCTCTGAGGAAGAACAACAGAAATAAGCGGCTTTCAGAATCTATATATAACAAGGAATAAAATAAATGTATAATTACATACAATATTCACTTGAGAAACCATAATGTGCTTGAATCTATTATGGATGGAAGCAACTTCTACTAGCTGCTCAACCAAACTAATAAAAAATAAACCAAACCAAACTTATAAAAAATAAGTCATATTACCTAGATCTATCATTGTTGTAGTGAACTTGCAACTCGCTGAGACTGGGAATTCAAGAAAATAAGATCAGGCTCAGGAATTAAATGTTACAAAGAAAAACAGGGGAACTGCTTGAAGACATACTTTGAGTACTGAATATCTAGCTGGCAGCAACCATCATAAATGTTCCGTCCCTGAAATTATTTATTTTGGTGGATGTCAAGAGATTCATAGCAAAAGCATCTGGACATTAAGTTCTGAAAGTTGTATATGCAACAGGAGACTTACATGCAAAGCACCAGCTGCTTGTATTGCACTCTGGCGTGACTGAAACTGTATAAGGGCTTGAAAACCTACATCACCAAAAATGAGTACTGTAATAGCAAATACGAGTCCTTCTATTCAACATGTGGCAACTTATTGATAATTCTAGTGGAAAAGGATAGGTTCTACTGTGCTAGGAAATGGCTAGATTTTTAAAAAATATATGCAGTTGAAAGCAACATGAAAAACACATCGTCAATTGCGTGATACTAAGAAGAAAATAAGCATGCATGCAATACAAGAAGAGTGAGAATTAGAGACGGGAAGAATCTGACCAGCAGTCTTTTGAAATGTGACAATCTTCTCCACAAATCCATAAGGAGAAAACACTTGATGAAGCACCTCGACGGTCATAGGATAGAGCATATGATGAACGGTAACTAAGAGAATTCGGTTGGGTTCATCCTGAGGCCCAGCAGCAGACGAGTACCGAGAAAGAATAGAGGAGAGAGAGAGAAGAATGAATAGAGAAGAATAGGTATCTAGTTGGAATAGAAGAGAGTAGAGAGAGCATGTAAACTAAATCAGTAAGCTACAGCAAATGATGAAAAAATAGGTGAAAATAACAACAGTATGAAAAGTTAGAACATTTTATATTTAATGACTTATTTGACTTTTCTTTTAATTTCTTAATTAATCAGTAACAGTAATATTACATGGTTGCTGGCACGATAAAAGAATTTTTTTAGCAGCACACTATGAAAGGCCCGAACAATAAAAATAGATTTGAGCAAGCTAGCACCTACTTCATGGGAAGACATACACATTATGTCCAAGAATGTATATCACAACGAACAATTCAAGGCCCAAAAGATACACTACTAACTGATAAATGGATGCAAGTATGCAACTAAACCATCATATGCAGTTTGGTAAGAGCTTATAAGCTTCAAAGTTCTGAATAAGGGACACCTAACTTTCTAATGTGTGATGATCTTTTCTAAGAAAATGATGATTTTTTTTCTTGCATCAGTACCTCATTACATTGTGCATATAATATTTTTGAAAAGCCAGCTGCTCATTTTTGAACTCTTGGTCATTTAGGTTGGTATATACCGTGAAGCAAGAAACCACAATGTTATATTAGAGAAGAGCAACCCACACTCTAAATAGAAGGAATGAAAACAGGCCAATATGTTTACATGCAGAGATCATAGATTACAGAAATGCACAAAACTGCTGATTACCTATAGAAGAGCAATCATGCTAATAGAGTATAGAACCCAAAGTGCAACTGGATAATTATGTACCTGATCAGGATTCCGTCCATGAGAGCTCTGATCAGTAGTCAGTTCCTGGTGAGATGAGTACTGCAAGTATACGTTTCTTCCCCTGATATGGCATGAAAACTGACATCACTATCTGATTTTGTAAATTATAATGGAAGCATAGCAACGTTAAGTAAAAAATTAATGGAAGCATAACAACATTAAGTATGACAATGACATAACTCTCCGCTATTGTGGATAATAAAAGCAACACACAGAAACATAACTCAAAAAGTAACTCTAAAGACAGAAAAACGGCTGACAGTGAAGCACAAAGAGGAAAATCTTAGGACGCACCCACATCAGGTCCAAGAAGAAGATTACCTCACGCTAGGTTGAATCGTAGTGTAGTATTGGATGGCGCTAATTGAAGCAGACAGGTCCTCCATCTGGACAAGGGCCTGCAGTAGCAGCGGCACAAACGCCACATTAGAATCACACAAAACTGCAAGCGCGCACCCACCTAGGATGAGACCGACAGGGCACCTGGTTCTTGGTGCGCAGCATGACGAGCTTGGCGACCGCTCCAAACGGCTGCACCACCTGGAGCAGGTCGGTCTGCACGCAACGAGAAGACCGAAAAGATCAAACTTTGAACCGGACAACAGAGCCATCCGGGCGAGGAATTCCGCCGAGCAGCTCGGGAAAAGGGGGGCCAGGATTCACTCACCTCGGAGATCTCATGCCCGACGTTCCGGATGTGGATCACCCTGGAGGGCTCGGCCATCCTTCCCCCAGACGCAGGAGCTGCAACCGAAGGCAGCAACACAAGAGCAATCCAACGAAGAACAGATTAGTCCGCCACTAGGGTTCGAGAAACGAGCTGGTTCGATCCGTACAGCATGGGAGGCGAGCGCGAGAGGGGGCGGGGAGGAGCCGTACCTTGGCCTGCTAGGGTTTTAGCGGTTGGGCGGAGGATCTAGGGTTTAGCTCGCTGCGGGGATCGCTCGGTAAATAAGACGGGGGAGAGGAGAGGAGGGGGGAGGGGAGGGATGGACGGATGGAGAACCGGGGATTTGAGAGGAGCCGGATTTGTTTGGATTTAGGATTAGGTGGGCGAGCGCACCCCTGTTTCTGTTTGACGGGGGCAGAGGGCTTTGACGGCTGTACGCACGCACTCGTCGAAGCAAGGGTCCTGTCACCTGTGCCTTTGCGCGCTTGCTTGGGGCCTGTTTGATTTCAATAAATCATCGATCTCCTTTGGTTCATAGGATTTCTATAAGGAAATTTTAAAGGATGGAATTTTTGTAGAAAAAAAATCCTTTGATGACCTTTGGTTCAAAGGAATAGAATCTTATTTATGTATAGGATTTCTTCCTTTCCTTCATGTTTCACAGGAAAAGAAAAAAGAAGTCAGACCTCTTGGAAAACTCCCCTGGCGTGAACGACGTGCGATTCAGCAACTATTCGCTCGCTTTCTTTCGATCGCTCACGTTGCTCCTCCGTGTAGAAATTAGGGACAAAACCGAGCCCATATCCATCCATCCCCTACTCTCACACAGAACGATGCAACCGGCAAGGAGGACCGCGGCGGACGGCCGAGCAACACGGCCACATCCGGACGGCGGCCAGCTAAGTACTAACACCGGCAAGCTAGAGAGCATATACCGCCGACCTGCTAGTCTTCAAGCCGCAGCGGAATCAATCTGCCGCAAATATCTTCAGATTTAGATCGATCTTGCCTTGTCTCCTCATATTGGGATCTGGTGCTAATTAATGAAGAAATAGTCCAGTCCAGCTTGCCGGTATGAGCTGCCCCAAGCAATTTCCCGTATGTTGAATCTTTAGTTCTTTCCCTCTACAAAACTAGATACCCCGCGCGTTGCCGCGGAACACATGCTAAAATCATGAGATAAATGCGTGAAACATTAGTTGAAAAACTATAGATTAGAAGTCCACATGAATAAGAAAAACAATACAACTTGTGTCCAAGCACTCATGATTAATAGTATAAAGATAAATATGCTCTTGCATCATTTCTAAATGATGTTGTTTTCCATAGAAATATGGACAATTAATGAAAAATTGTATTAAATGGGAACAACCCAACATCACAGATAACGTAACGTGATATAAACAACATAACTTCAAAATGTTACATCTTATCTCAAGTACATAAATGTACTATATGGCACACAAATGAGAGTCAACAATAGGCAGAGGCATTCCATATAAGGTGGTTGAAGTCTTGGAGATAGTAAATTTTCCTTTCAGATGGTATTGCGTACATTATGCTTTTTTGCGAAGGTATTTATCTCATCCTCTTAAGATATTTCAACGGAGTTGAGCTGATCAACTCTTCAGTAGTCTATTATTTCATGTATACCTTTGTATTATCAATAGCACTCTTCCTGCGAAAGAGTTGAAGACCAAAATCTTGTTGCTATGGGTCGAAAAGAGTGTCTTCTAAGAATTCAAGTGTACTAATCCCCGAAAAATGCTACTGGCATAATTACCTTGTACCAAACATATGTTCAGATCTGAAATGCACCAACTATATAGTTGTCAATATAAAAGTGTCCCAGGAGGTGGGCAAAGAAATTGAGCCAGAAAATTACATGAACTTTCTTGATTGGGCCTCGAATAAATGGAAAAGTCAACGACAAATCCAAAAGACATGAGGTTCAGTCTCATTGAAACAAAATCTGAGACATGAGGTTCAATTTCATTGATAGTGTTCTGTAAAAAAATCCATGAGAGAGAGGTGGGGGTGTAGCTTGCCTTGGAGTGAAGCTAAACATGATAGGGAATCCATGGCGCTGCTATAAAGAAATATATTTGATATGCGGATGGGAATATGACAGTCCACGTCCAATAAGTCGGTGCATTGGCAATGCTCCTGCCATTTCCATAAGAAAAAACAGGATTAATACATATTCTACCCTAAACTATAATTAGATACTGATGAAAAAACATTGAGTAAATCTGAATCACCTGCGAACATATCATGCAATAGACCAAGAAAAATGGAGTCATGCTTATAGGTCAATAAATGAAAAATAGGGATGTGACTTACAATATTGCATCATTCTCCTTGTCTTCCTCTCATCATTTGCAAAGGTTGAACAACAACTGGAAAATAAAAAGCAAAAGGCCGAGTTTAGTAGCGAGGCCAGCTGTGGCGTACCTGGTCATTGAAGTTGAATTGGGTCTGCTGAGATTGGATATTCACTTGTATGAATAAAACTAAAACAATATAACGAAGGAAGAGACCAATTAGCACGTCATGCTCGTTTCCCATAATATGCTGACATGTAAATCACGGCGTGGAACCCAAATCTAAACAAAAAAGGTAAGGTGGGACTCACCAGTGTCATCCGGACGACTTCAAAGGATGATGTGGCTGGCGGTGGAGAAGTTCCTAATGGATTGGTATCCATCAGGGTAAGCCACCTGCAGCTAAAACTGCGAATCATGTCCTTAGGCACAGTTGCGTGAAGGCAAGGGCGGGCGGCACAGGTAGGGCCCGAAGCAGAGGAGGGTCGGGCGCACGTACTCAATCCGCTGCCTGGGGATGGCCGATTCAGGTGCATCGGAGGCCGCCTGCGCGAGCAGGAATCAGTTGCGCGGTGATGGCTTGCAGGGCCGTGGCGGGAATGATTGCATCAGGGCATCAGGCAACTCCAGCTCTTGTCGGCGTTGATGGCAGGAGCGAGGAGGCGGGGGCAGGCCAGTGATCCATCCCGCTGGAACCCGGCTGCGCCGAGATGGCCGTCTCTGATTCGTCCGAGGCCGCCGGTGCGAGGATGACCCAGAGCAGAGCCACAACGTGAGGGAGCTTCCCCACTCTCACCACCTGCGTGCTAGTCCACCGGCGCGAGCAGGGCTCGGAGAACAGCAAGGTCGTGATGGAGCTCCTCCGGCTCTAACCACTGGCATGGGGAAAGATTTGAGGGAAGATTGGGAGGGGAAGAGACGATAGACACGACCTGGAGATTTTTTTCTCTGTTAGATATAGGAGTAGTAGATAAGCTGTGGTGGTGCTTCGGTTTGTAATTAGTGAAAAAATGCAGAAAAATGAACCATTAATGGGAAATCAAGGCTAGTACTCCACCGGATGCAGTAGTATTGCGTGTGCGTTTTAGTAGGCTAGAAGGCTAAAGATCCGCCCCTTCGGTGACCAGGGGAAAGACAACACAAGATTTGTGATTGGTTGGTATCTGATGACATGGCATGCTTTGTTGGACCCTTTGCATGTTAAGAGAATACCTTATAATGGGGAGCAACTTCTTAAGAATGTAAGATTTGAATGGATTCAAACCCTTTTTTATGAGCAGAGTGTTCACCTTTCCTGCACACTTTATTTTTTGTCTCACAGAGTCAAAGGTGATTTTGCTAATCACTGTTTATAACCTCTACTTCATAATAAAGTAACAAGTAACAGTACATATTTTACCATCTCACTAGTCCCATTACATGTCTAGTTGCTTCAAACTTTGAAGAAGTAACAGTACAGATTTCACTAACGGCAAGTTGCTTCAAACTTTGGAAAAATATTTATTTATGTTTCGTACGTGTGTTCATATCCTTTGAATCAAAGGGCATTTCATTTCCTATTTCTATGGTCTGAGCACTCATAGGATTTAAGATGCATGCACCTCATTTCCTATACTTTTCCTATTCATATGCAATTCCTATCCTATGAACCAAAGATAGCCTTATAAGTTAGGTGACTTAAAACCAGTGATTTATAAGTCACGCCTGTTTGGTTGTCACCTGACTTATAAATCACCTTACCACACCTTTCCACCTTGTTTTTTATGTAAAGGCGGTGTGACCCACGTAAAAGAAGGTGACTTATAAGTTTTAAGTTGGGGTGGAGTAACTTATGACTTATAAATTGGGGTGACTTATAAGTTGAGTTTGTTTGGTAAAATAAGTCATTTTTTCACTTTTCGACTTATAAATTGGTGACTTATTTGGAACCAAACATGCCCTTGGTTCCATTGGGGAAAAATGATGAGAATTTTGGTAGCAAAAAATATCGTGCCCGACTGCTCTGACTTCGTCGGGATGCTCTCCGCCTCGTGCTCCAGGACACCAGGGGCGTGACGGCACGTTCCCATTCGGGTCGGGGAGTCAGTTGACATCGGGGATATTGTCAACTTCCCTTTGCCATTTTGCTAGGGTTCGGGATCGGTTGCAGGTCTCGACCTCGTCGTTCAAAGCGTCGTCGCAGGTGCGCCATGGGCGGGGTGGTGGTACACGGAGAGATTTGACTGTGGTACATGCCGGTAGGGTGCATGCAGCCGAGTCAGGGATCTTGGGAGCGGGCCCAAGCTCGAGTACGGCTTCCCTCCAACCATGGCGGATGTGCGATACGTGGGGTGTGATCCAACCCATCATGGGACTGCGGGGAGCACGACTGGTGGTATATATTTCAACCCTTTCCAAATAGCAAAGTCACGACCTGAGGGTTCAATTGTAGTACCTCCAAGATAATCTCCCATAGGAGAATAAACTGAACCAAGCCCTCAGAGAGCAGCTCCCCTCAATGTCGGCAGCCCAGCGATGCAACAACAGTCCATCCTTCACCGCCCAATAATACGAAGTAACACGACTTGTCACCATTGGGGAGATTTCTGCGACACGACGCTTGAAGCGTCCGATCTTTCTTAAAAAACACTTTGTCCCCTGCACCCGCATGACAGCGCACCAAAAAGTGAAACGGGTCCTTCACCCGTGAGTCTACGGCCATCGGAAGCCCTGCCATGGCCTCGACGGATC